GTGCTTCAGAAAAAACGAGAAAAAAAAAAAACGTCACCGTTTCAGACTCGGGCCATTCGAGCCACATACGTTTCGAGCTACAAAACGGGATTGATAATTTTTCTAATTAATTAATTCAATTATATGTCATGTCAAGTGGTAATGTTAGAATTTTTCCAAACAATTAATTATGTTCTGTTAGCTAGAAGTTAGGTTGGGTGACATTGTTATTATAAAAATTGTTAAGGAGTGAATTAAATATATATATATATATATATACATTTGATGGTCACCAAATTAATAAGAATTTATTTTTATTTTATCCTTTTATAATGTGACTAATTATATGAAATTTCATAAATACCATTGGGACTGTTTCTTTTAGTTCAACAAAGGATTGAATTAGTAATCCCATAGATCCCACAAATATTGTGTTTGGTTGAAACAAAAGGCTGAGGACCAATAGACCCTTGGGATCATTAATACCCTACAAGGAAGGGATTAACAATCCCATGAGGGAGGTAGGATTGTTATTCTAATCCCATGAGATTGAAGAATTAGAGGAAGAAAAAGATAATTTTGCCTTCCATTTTTCGAAGATATCAAAGTTATCTTTTATATAATAGGGACTTTTACATAATTTCATATATTAATCTTAACCAACTGAGATTAACCACATTAGTACAAAAACAAATATAATTTTTATTAGTTCATTCACTAATAATTTCCACACTAACAATTACACCCAACCTAACTCTAAAAACAATCTGGCTTAGATAATAAGAGGGAAAAATAGCATTTTTCAAGCTAATCCCAAGGGTTTAAATTTCAATCAATGTGTTTAGTTTCAGTTTTCTGAATTCATTTTTTTTTTTTTGGAAATTGGGTCCTTTTTTTTTTAGTGAATATTTTTAAAATTTTAAGCAATTTTTTTACTTTTTTAAATGCACCTTACTTGGATATATCTAAATAGTAAAATATTTGTGAAACAATATTTTAAAAATTAATAAATACACAAAAATATAAAAAATGTACTGAATTTTTTATTTTTATTTTTATTTTTTTGTATTTTTTCTATTTAGTAAACTTTTTAAAGATTTTTTTCACAAATATTATACTTTTTTAATGTATTTATGTTAGGTGTGTCCAAATAAAAAATTACTTAAAATATTAAAAAAATCCAGCGTAAAAAAAGTAAATTTTTTTGAAAAGTGAATTCTGAAAACTGAAACCAAACAGAGTGAATATCAGTCACAATCTCATGCTCTACCTCTGAAAACAAACAAGACCTATATGTCATGTCGAAATCTTAAGGTCAATTTAGTTTTGGAGGACTTATATGTAGGTCCTAATATATAGACTTATTGTCCAATAGGAGAATTAATGATATTTTGTATCAAACATTATTAAAAAATTGTCACTAATTTTTAATTTTCAATGACAGTTTGAAAATTTTGCAACAAAAAATGTCACTAATTATAAGTTTTGGTGACAGTTTAAAAAAATCGTCACTAAAAAAGTCATTAATTTTCAACTTCCAGCTACAGTTTAAAATTTTCGTCACAAAAAAGACATTGATTATAAGTTCACTACTAGAAAAATGGCCTTTTGCTACTATACAATTTGCGACCCCCTAATTATCAGTCGCGAATAATCTATTTATTCCTTATATTTATTTTTTCTTCCTTTTTTCCTTATAATTGCCCTAGCCCTATTTCACAAACATTGATATCGTTCTCCCCCCTTTCTCTCTCTCTCTCTCTCTCTCTCTCTCTCTTAAATCAATCGTCGAAGCTCTCAGATCTCAAGTCACCATTAACGTTTCTCTCTCCTTCAGTTGCCTCGCCTTCGCCCCTGCCCTCCTCAACCTCTTCTAGGTCTCTTTCTCTCTCTTTATATACATGCATATATTTGTGTATATATCTCTGATAGCTTGTGTTCTAGATGATTCTAGAGAGAGAATTGACAAATAGCTCTAAAGATCTATAGCGGATCATTCTCTCTCTCTCTCTCTCTCTCTCTCTCTCTCTCTCAGGCGTTCAACAGACCTGTATAGCTCTACTCCCTCGCTCGTCATCGTCGTCTGAAGATCTCCAGCGGTATGAATCTCTCTCTCAATCTCGCCCCCAATCCCTCTCTCTCTATCTATCTATCTATCTCTAGCTACACATACATATCATACGAGGAAGCTCTGGTTCGACTAATTCGTCTCATCCTCGTGCAGGTATGTACTGGTTCAACTCATCTTATTCTTGCCCTATTTTCTTGCATTTTCCATATCTATTAGTGTATATCTCTCAATTTCTTCTTCAATACATTATAGTGAGTAGTACATTATTGTTTTTAACTTGAAATCAAGATTTCATTTATTATCGGCAATTTTGAATTTGTCGAGGCAAGAACTGGTAAATTTGAATTTGGAAGATAAAAAGTCCTAGTGTTGAATTTGCTTGATTTATATGTGATATTAAATTAGTTCATTGATCATGCTGATTGGATTTTCTAGTTGATTGATCTGTTAGCATTGACATTGACATGAATCATTATCACTCGGTACAAGTGTATTCATCATTGTTCTTGCTGTTGGAACTTTTGCTTGTTGGATGTTGTGAATGTCTTTGGTGATTTCTATAATCATATTTTTTGAATATGTTTGAAGAAAGGAGAGAGGGACATATTGAGGTTAAATTCTTGACTGAAGGTGAGCGCGTGTTCTATTTTCCTCAAGGACATATTGAGCAGGTTAGTTTCCAACTCTAGGCAATTCTATTCAGAGTTCTTTGTTTCTCTCAGAGGTTAAATTCATTAGGATTTCTTATAATGCTTTATAATTTTATCAGTTTTGTCTCTCTTGGTTGTGCATCTCCAATTGTTCATCAAATTTTTCATCAGATTTAAATGTGATGAAAAAAATGGCTCCAAAATGATTGATTATTGATGAAGAATTATGTTTGATGGATATGTTTGATTATCTTCAGTCATCAAAATGATATTACTCCAATTTTTCCATCATACAATGATTCTAGGAATTTCTAAATTTTTATTTTTATTATTTTGTGATGTAGAACTAGCTGATTATCATTGGTACGATCCACAATATATTCTTAGGTACATATCTGATCCTAAATCAGGGTGACTGACTGGTGTATTTGGGGTTAGATTGGGAAGTGTTTTTAATGGTTAGTGGTTTGTGAAGTTAGAGAGGGTGACCAGGGGTGAATGAAGTGCCATCACCATGAAAACTAGTGATCTGTTTCTCTTTTGCCCTGTTTGTGTGGAAAGGTAAAGAGATTTGTGTATTGGCTTTGCAATATTTGCTGCAAAAAGCGGTGAAAGCTATGCCAAAATTACTATTCTCTGTAGGTTGACTCTATTTACTATGCTTTGCTTTTAATGTAGGACAATGGAAGAGGAATGCCACATGATGATATTCCCAATATGTTTGGACGAGGTTTGACACTACTTGCAAGATACCGTTTCCATTTGATACGATTTATTGTTGGCACATGGACTGGAATATTTGTTTGATCATGGACATTCAATGTGTTCATATTACATTGAGAATTGCTAGGATTAATATGTTTCAACTCTATAATGATATTGTAATATTGACTTATTGTGAGAATATTTATATTTGTGTAGTTTTTTCTGGGACAAAATATGGCTTGAAGCAAACACGCGGAAAGTTTGGACTTGGTGCAAAGATGGTAATGTTTGACATCATTTAACCAATTTATGCATCTTCAGGTCTTAGTGTGAGAATATATATTTGTGCCCTTCCATTAGGCTTTATTTGTATGTTTTAGTTCCTATGGTTCTTCGTTTAATAATCATGATAGAATATGAATGTGAATTTGGTCAACCATATTCTTATGCTTATAATATAATATGGTCAACAATTTGATCTTTGTCCTTATGTAGGAATTAATTTGGTCCAAGATGAGTACAGGGCTTCCTATTGACATTTCATCATCAATGAAGGCCCAAAATTATAGTTCATTCTGCAAGCTTGATATAGGCATTCATCGGTATGATTTATATAAGGCATAACTTATAATCCTATGACTATTGTTACATTGTGAATGTGCATAGTTGTAAGTCTCCAGTTTAATTTTGTTGTACTTTTCGTTTCTTTCTTTATAGTTTATAAATGGAGCTTCTTTCAATCATTAGGAACATTCCTCACATTCACTTACATGAAAAACAGGACAATAAGGAACGATGGCATGGAGCTAAAATCCAAGTTGTTATTGAGGGGAATTGAACAACTTACCGTGTATGTAGCACTCAATTTGGCCCATGTCATGTGATTCCGTTGTACTTTTAGCTGTACAAATAAATAACGAAGCAAAGCATTTATGTGATGTGTTTTGGAATCATGTTTGATCAAATAAATTGAGCAACATATTCTTTTGCTGATGATAATCCTCTCAAATTCTATATTAGGCTTATCAATGGCATCACTGACGGAACTTTCTTTCAACTGGACTGGTTTCATTAGTGTGATGATTTCAAATATTGCATTCACTTGCAGGAATATCTATTCAAAGAAGCAATGGTAATGTCTTTCACAACATGTAATTATTCTTAGTATTCTAAATTGTGGTTTTTATTTTGATGGGATGGAAGAGTGTGGAAGAACACAATTAAGGTCCCCTGCTTGACCTTTAATAATGCTTGATTATCTCTTATGTTGCTTTCGACTTTTCTAAATGCAAGAAGTAATGGTGTTGAACACTTGACACGTGTAAGACTTAAAAGAGTACAGGATTTGTGTCCAATGTGCCTAGTTGGACATGCACTCTTGCTTAGTCTATTAGGTAATTTTTATAACACTAAACTTTACTGACTAATATCTTTTTATATTGTGAGTGACAATGTTAATATCAATTTGGTATAAATATAAAATTGTGGAAAGGATTTGTGTCCAATCTGTCATGTTTAGTTTGCAAGTGTTTTGTGTTGTAATGAAAAACTATTGACAATTCATTGTGCCTATTATTTTTTTTTTGTCCAGAATCATGAATATAACTGTGAGTCTATGACTATATGTAAATTATAACAAGAAGGAATGACATAAAGATTAAAAAGAGATGCAGACGCATAGGGTTAAGGCTTAACTTGTTGGGTTATGTTGTTGTTCTAGAAGAACCTGTAGTACTCAAGATGAGGTGCTTCAAAATAAAGGCATAAAAAAGCATAATAGTGATTCCTCTAATCTTTTTCAGCAGAGATGTTTGTCTGTGAACTTCTAATGGGTTACACAATATCTTAGAAATTTTTGTACTCTTTATTGCTTATGTTCAGTTTGTTCCTTAATATAATTTCAGTATTGAGTGTATTAGTTGATGTTTTAAAGTTATTTGAACTTTTTACTTCATTTCTATACTTCAAATGTGATCTTCATACATTGTCAATGATCCAGTTATGGGATAGCTGCAATTGTCAAGGACCAAGGAAGTTTGTTGTCCAACACCTTCAGTTTGACAAGGTATGGTCTGATTCTTTTATAAATATTTAGTGATCTGAGTATATAATTTTTTACTCTAGGTTCCCTAGTGTAGAGAAAGAGGTACAAATTTTGACTTCATGCTTGATGTGCTTTGGTAATTTTCAACTTTCAAGACAATCGATTTAGGCCCTTCTCTATTGCTATTACTATGTAACTATGTTTTGTATACCTCATACACAGTCTCTGTCTGCCATCCAGTATACGCAGATTGCATGTTACATCTCTGCAAATCGGTGGGGTTGCAATTTTTTAGTGCTTAATGTAATGATCATATTTTTGTAAATATTTTTTTAATCCTTCCCCTATTTAAATGGTGTACTATGGCAACTTAAATTATCATTAAAATTTTGAATAATGGAGAGCAACACTGTTACGATTATTAAAAATTGTAAATAAATGTTAGAGTGAACAATGGTCGAAATAAAAGCAAAACAAAACCAATTCAGCAGAACACACAGCCAAGTACACAAACTCCTATGCTAATAGAGGACATACAACACAAATTCACCCCTGCCAACCATCCACAAGTGAGCAAGACAGCAAAGCACAAGATAGCAAATAACACTCAGCATCAGGGTACCACTTGAACACCCTCCACCCCTGTACACCAGGTCACCACCTGGCACTCAAACCAACCTCTAGTGTAGATATATTTGTCTTAATTTAGTCTTTTTGCTTGATATCTTAATTTAGTCTTTTTGACCTTTTCCATTTCCACTTATCATGCAAAGAGTGGATATATTTGTTATTGAGCCATTAGTTATCAAATTACAATGTGTTTTTTATTATTTTTTTATTACTTGGAATATAAATATAATATTTTGCATTTGTTTGTTTTCATTGTTGATTGCAACAGTTGACTGCTCGTAGATGCCAAGAATGTGGACAAACACTTCCTCCAACCTATCAACCCCCGGCTGACGAAGATTGGTCAACTGGAATTTTTGGGTGTACTGAAGATACCGACAGTTGTAAGTGTTCTATCTACTTCAACTTTTCAACTAGTGGCATTCAAGTTTTCACATTAAGTTGTCAAGTCGTGTACATATAGACGGGGGGAGGGGAGGGGAAGTTCACTCATTTTTCTTTAATTAAAAATCTAATTTCAGCATCCTTTGTCAAATAGAGCTCATGTCTAACTGGGATTGTGCATGTTTAGCATAATTATACAAGATAGACGCAAATAAAAATGATCTACATGGTATAATAGCAATAGTTTCACGGACTGGCATACGAAATTAACGGAACAATTTTTTCTAGAATTTGATGCTTAAAACTCAGTTAATATGAAAAATAAAATGCATTATTTATACATCTAAATTTACACAGAATAATTGCTTCTTCTTTGGATAAGGATGTCTGAATGAATTTTGTCTTTTGCATTACTGAGATCCTCATTTATTTTTGAATCATTTGTTCATCTTATAGGCTTGACTGGACTATTCTGCCCATGTGTGTTATTTGGACGTAACGTGGAAAACTTGAACGTTGATATCTCTCAAAGGGCTGCCTGTGTTGGTCATATCATATGTGTCGAAGGTGGTATGACATTTGCTGCATTGACATTGTATCGTTCTCTCGATTTGCCCATCAGTTTGCGGATGAAAGGCGGTGCTGAACCTCAACTCTGTTTCCATTGCCTTTTGAAGATTTTGCCAAAATCTAGAAACAAACTTAGAATCCTTATCTGAAATAATAGATACTGGAACTCCATGTAAGCGAATAATTTCATCAATATAGATAATAGCAAGTCTATAAGCATTGAAAGAAGTCTTCACAACAGAAAAATGAGCAGATTTTGTCAATCTATCAACGATAACCGATATAGCAATCATACCTCTAGATGTCTGAGGTAGAGCAACAATGAAGTCCATGGTTATGTGCTTCTATTTCCATTTTAGAATAGGGAGAGATTAAAGTAAACCTGTTGGTTTTTTATGTTCAGCCTTAACTTGTTGGCATTGGAGGCATTTGGAATTAAAATCGACAATCTCTCTGTTCATGTTTAGCCACCAGTACACTTGTTTTAGGTCTTGATATATCTTGGTACTTCCCGAATGCATAACGAACAGTCATTTGTGGGCTTCCTCCAAAAATCTTATTTTCAACTCTACATCATTGGGAACACAAAGCCTTCCCTAGAACTTTAACACTTGATCTTCAATAGTGAACCCCATCTTGGGCTTGGTCTCAAACTCATCACACACCTTCTTGAAAAACTCATCCTCTTTTTGTTCTTGCTTGATTTCCTCAATCATTGTCGGTCATGTGGACATTGCTTCCAATACTGAGGCCGAAGAGAAGGCCGATTCTGCCGATTGTTGATTGCAACAGTTGACTGCTCGTAGATGCCAAGAATGTGGACAAACACTTCCTCCAACCTATCAACCCCCGGCTGACGAAGATTGGTCAACTGGAATTTTTGGGTGTACTGAAGATACCGACAGTTGTAAGTGTTCTATCTACTTCAACTTTTCAACTTGTGGCATTCAAGTTTTCACATTAAGTTGTCAAGTCGTGTACATACAGAGAAGGGGGGGGGAGGGGAAGTTCACTCATTTTTCTTTAATTAAAAATCTAATTTCAGCATCCTTTGTCAAATAGAGCTCATGTCTAACTGGGATTGTGCATGTTTAGCATAATTATACAAGATAGACGCAAATAAAAATGATCTACATGGTATAATAGCAATAGTTTCACGGACTGGCATACGAAATTAACGGAACAATTTTTTCTAGAATTTGATGCTTAAAACTCAGTTAATATGAAAAATAAAATGCATTATTTATACATCTAAATTTACACACAATAATTGCTTCTTCTTTGGATAAGGATGTCTGAATGTATTTTGTGTTTTGCATTACTGAGATCCTCGTTTATTTTTGAATCATTTGTTCATCTTATAGGCTTGACTGGACTATTCTGCCCATGTGTGTTATTTGGACGTAACGTGGAAAACTTGAACGTTGATATCTCTCAAAGGGCTGCCTGTGTTGGTCATATCATATGTGCCGAAGGTGGTATGACATTTGCTGCATTGACATCAGTTCTTAATGGCATTGATCCACAGACATTATTTCTCGTTTATGAGGGTCTGTTCTTTGCTTGGTGGATGTGTGGAAGCTATACCAGCATGGCTCGGCAATCATTGCAAAAAATGTATCATCTAAAGGTGATCTGAATTGCATTATTAAAGGCTTATTACTTAATTTTTTTTTTTTTTTTGAGACTTGAATTTTTTAGTACAGTGTATTTAAGGAGGGATAATGGATAATGTCTATTATAAATTTAATTAATTTGTTAATTTTGTTATTTTTCATTAACAAAAAATTGTTTGGCACTTTAATTGATTTTTTTTTTTTTTTGTTGTAGCAAACCCGTATATGATTTTGTTTTTAAGAAATAATTATTTGCGACAGTAAAACAATGGTCGCTAAAAGTGTTTTTTATTTTTTAATTTTTTTTTGCGACGGCAAAATAGCTGTCGCAAAAAGTAGTTTAGGTGGTCGCAAATAATTTGCGACTGTTGTTTTGCCGTCGCAAAAAGTATTTGCCACCCCCCCATTTGCGTCCCCCATTTGCAGTCGCATAGGCCGTCGCAAAAAGTCTTTTGCGACTGTATTTTTATTATTTGCGACGGCTTGTGGCGGTCGCAAAAAGTGTTTTTTTTAGTAGTGGTTTTACCAATAATTTATAAAAATTGTGACAAAAAAAAGTCACTAATTGTAAATTTTTAACAAAATATGCAAAAAATTGTCAAAAAATATTATTTTTAGCGACGATTTTAGTAGAAATTATTTTCAATAAGATTTTATGGAAATTAAATCGAACTATTAAGACATATTAGTAGTTTATCCTTTAGTTTTATTATTATTATTTGCAACCCAACTGTGCTATTCACAGAGCTGGAAAAAAAATATTTTAAAAAGTTAATTTTAAAATATTTTGATATATAATATTTTGTATAAAATTTATTAATAATAATTGAGATTTGAATCTTAACATCCATTCCGCAATAGCTCTCATATTACTTTTATCATTGACTTAAGATACCTTTTAGTTTGATAATCTAATTTGATATTTAAAACAAATTTATTGAACAACTATGCATTTAATGCTTTTAAAAATCAAAATTCATATCACTTAAAGGTAATTACAAATATATTTTCTGAAATTTGTTTCAAATATAAATTTTCCGTTTTTAGAATTTGTTATTTAATAGAATTAATTAATAAAATGAAATTATTAACTATCTTCTATACAACAAAGAAATTATTAGAATTGTTAATTGAAATATATTGTTCGCCACACTAAAATTATTAATTGACTTGATGGTTGTGTTGGGATATACCTCCTTATTGGAGTTTGAGACCCAATTGGTTTTGGTTAAAGAATTTTAATTTGGTTTGGTTTGGGTATAATATATTTTATATATATTACATCTAATTTGTGGAGACCCAATCTAATTTGGTAACAACTAGGATTTTGATGAAACAAACCCAAAAGTTTAGATATATATATTGTTTATAGTTTTTGCTCGGGTGTGTAAGGAAAAAAAAAAACAGCCGTTTTTTTTTGTGAAGCAACAGCACTTCATTGATCAATTTGTTTTGTGAGATAGTGCATGTGGAAAAGTCAAATCCAGTGGCTTAATTGATTAAGGTGTGGAATCTTCGGTTGGCTACTTCGGTTTCGGCTTCATAGTTGGATGATTTAGTTCGTTATTTTAGGTCTTCTTCAACTCTGGTTCTGGAGATTTTGGTTCATCTATTTGGTGAGGTCTTTCCTCTTGTTTATTTGTGATAATTTGGAATTCACCTAAGGATGGTTTTGTGAGACCATTAGTGTCTCGTTTGTAATCGTTTGGAACATATTTGGTTGATAGTGGAATCGGATTTCTATCCCGTGGACATACCTTATATTGAGGGAACCACGTAAAAATTCTTGTATTGCTTTTGATTTAATTTTTCCGCATTAGTTTTTTATTCCCGTTGATTGATTTACTTGTGGGGAATCACATATTTTCCCTAACAATTGGTATCAGAGCTTACGATTTATTTGGATTTATTTATTTGTGTAAATCAATGGAGGGGAATGTGGGTCGTATGTCTAGTTTCGATGGAAGCAATTGGATAACTTGAAAAACTAAAAAGAAGCAAGAAGACACAACAGCAGTTTCTACCGATGATCTCATGGTCGTTTGTGAAGATGATTGTATCAATTTTATGGGCCAAGAGAGTAATTAGGTGATTGATTCCGGTGCTTCTTTTCATGTAACTTCTCGAGTTGATTTCTTCACTACCTACACCAAAGGAGATTATGGTTCTGTTCGAATGGGTAATGAAGGTTTGTCCAAGATTATTGGCATGGGCGATGTTTGCTTGGAAACAAATTTGGGTTGCAAGTTGTTGCTTAAAGATGTGAGGCATGTTCCTGACATTCGCCTCAATTTGATCTTACTGAGAAGCTAGATGATGAAGGCTTCAACAACAAATTTGGTGATGGAATATGGAAGCTCACAAAGGGTTCTTTGGTGGTGGCTAAGTGCAAGAAGACTCATACACTTTATTCGATGCAAGGAAAAATTTGTAAAGGTGTTGTCAATACACTTGAAGATGATACTTCTACTGAATTGTGGCACAAGCAACTTGGGCACATGAGTAAAAAGAGGCTGCAAGTTTTGTTCAAGAAAGAGCTTCTACCTGGTTTGAAAGGTACACATCTTAAAACTTGTGTTCATTGTTTGGCGGGTAAACAACATAGAGTTTCTTTTCATAAAAATATTGCTTCTAGAAAAGAAAATGTTTTGGAGTTGATTCATTCGGATGTTTGTGGCCCTTTAAAAGTTTGAACACATAGTAGTGCACTTATTTTGTTACTTTCATTGATGATTATTCAAGGAAAGTTTGGGCTTTTATATTAAAAACTAAAGATCAAGTTCTAGAAGAATTTAAGCATTTTCAGGCCATGGTTGAAAGAGAACAGGGCAGAAATTGAAGTGCATCCGATCAGACCAATGGTGGTGAATAACATTGGGCCACTTGATGAGTATTGTCGCAGCCAAGGTATTCGGCACCAAAAGACAGTTAAGAAGACTCCTCAACAAAATGGCGTTGCCAAGAGGATGAACCGCACTATTGTGGAAAGACACAAGGTGTTTGCTTTTCACAAGCTAAATTGCCAAGATCCTTTTGGGGTGAGGCATGAAAAGACAGCGGTTGACATGATCAATTGTTTCTCCTTATTATCCTTTGAATGGTGATGTTCCAGAAAGAGTTTGGATCGGTAAAGATGCATCTTTATGAGCACTTGATAGTGTTTGGGTGGCCGAGCTTTTGTTCACATTCCAAGAAATGAGAGATCCAAGCTTGATAGTAAATCAAGACAATGTATTTTTCTTGGCTATGGGAGTGATGAATTCGGGTATAGATTGTGGGAATCCGGTCGACAATAAAGTCATTCGAAACCGTGATGTTTGTGTTTCTTGAAGACCAAACAATTGAAGACTTTGGCAAAGGTGAATCAACCAGAGCCAAAAACTAGTGATCTCATTGACATGGATTCATCTCCTTCATCTTCAGTTGATGATGAAAATGGGGGAGAGTGCAACCACCTCTTGAAGATGTAGATGATGATGGCTATTCAAAATGAAGTTGAGCCCGAAAATTGAGGAAGAGCATCCAACTCAAGAAACCCACCACAACTTGAGTTGAGGAAATCTACAAGGGACCCGAAAACCTTCAAGAAAGTATCCTCCCAATGCATTTGTGTTGATTTCCGATCAAGGGGAGCCTAAGAGCAACCAAGAAGCAATTGAGCATGCAAAGAAAGGTGATTGGAAAAAGGCCATGGACGAGGAGATGAATTCCTTACTTGAAAACCAGACTTATGATTTAGTGAAGTTGCCTAAAAGGAGGAAAATTCTGAAAAATAAGTGGGTTTTCAAATTGAAGAATGATGGTAAGATTCTGAGGTACAAAGCACGTCTTGTTGTGAAAGGTTTTAGGCAAAAGAAAGGTATTGACTTTGGCGAGATTTTCTCACCGGTTGTAAAGATGTCTTCTATTCGGGTTGTACTTGGCATGGCTGCAAGTATGAACCTTGAAGTTGAGCAATTTGATGTGAAGACCGCATTTCTTTATGGTGATCTTGAAGAAGAAATTTACATGGAGCAACCGAAAGGTTTTATTGAAAAAGGAAAAGAGAAATTTGTTTGCAAAATGAAAAAAAGTTTGTATGGTCTCAAGCAACCTCCGCGACAATGGTACAAAAAATTTGACTCTTTCATGATGAATAATGATTTTTCTAAAACCACTTCGGACCATTGTGTATTTGTGAAAAATTTCCCGGATGGTAAATTTATTATTCTTTTGCTTTATGTTGATGACATGTTAATTGTAGGTCAAGATTCTACCATGATTAACAAGTTGAAGTTAGAGTTGAGTAAATCTTCTGGTATGAAAGATTTGGGACCGGCAAAGTAAATACTTGGTATGAAAATTGTTCGTGATCGCAAAGAATGGCTGATTTGGTTATCTCAAGAAAGCTACATTGAGAAAGTTCTTGAGAGGTTTAATATGAATAAAGCAAAGCCGGTTGGCTGTCCACTTGCAGGTCACTTTAAGCTTAGTTCGAATCAATGTCCTACGAGTGAGAAAGACAATGAAGAGATGCAGAAAGTTCCTTATGCTTCAGCAGTTGGTTCTTAGATGTACGCCATGGTTTGTACAAGGCCGGATATTGCTCACGCCGTTGGTGTGGTGAGTCGTTTTCTTTCTAATCCAGGTAAAGAACATTGGGCAGCGGTAAAATGGATTCTAAGGTATCTTCAAGGGACTTCGAAGGTATGTTTGTGTTTTGGGGATGGTAAGCCGATGCTTGATGGGTTCACGAATTCTAACATGGCCGGTGATGTTGATTCTAGGAAATCTACTTCGGGGTATTTGATGACATTTGCAGGGGGAGCTGTGGCATGGCAATCTAAATTACAAAAATGTGTTGCTCTCTCAACTACCGAAGCTGAATTTATTGCCATTACGAAAGCTTGCAAAGAAGAGTTATGGTTGAAGAAATTTTTGCAAGAGTTGGGTTTGAAACAAGAAAAGTATGTGCTTTATTGTAATAGTCAAAGTGCTATTCATTTGAGTAAAAATTCTATTTTTCATTCGAGATCGAAACACATTGATGTGAGATACCACTGGATTCGTGATGTGTTAGATTTGAAATTATTGCAACCCGAAAAGGTTCACACAAATGATAATATTTCGGATATATTGACTAAGATTTTGTCGAGGGACAAACATTAAAGTGTCGAACTTTGGCGAGTATGGTTG